TGAGCGCACCATTCTTTTATTTATGGTATTTTCACTGACAATATCAACCTTTATACCATTTGTACTTCTAACGGATGATGCGTTGTTAATTATTATGCTGATGTATTTTGCACTGTTTCTCATAGAAGGTGCACTCACTGTGGTGGAAATGTAAACACTTACCAAAGTTGTGTAAAATATACAGACGATACAAACTACCGGTGTTACCAAATGAAGGTTAATTCCAGTAACTATAAATACAAAATTAAACCTGGCCATCGTTATTACGCATGTGCTTACCTTGACTGAAAGCGAGTGCCGGTACATATATAACTATGGGAATGTAAAGCATCATTTTTGTCAAAAATAAAATGGATCCCAACAATCTCACGGTTTCATTAAATCGTAAATTTAAGTACTGCAACAGGCTAATTGATGGAGCGTTTTCGCATTCGATATAATACGTACTTCGTAACTTGATGTAATTTCTAACTTATAAAATACAGGTAGTATAGCAACCGCCATAGTTAACGATACCAATCCTTCAGTGCACATTATCATCCAGAACTGCGTTCCATAAGTGTATATTTCGGCGGGCATGCCCAGTATCGATATTCCTGATATGTAACTGAAAAAAAATATTGAATTCTGTTTCCATTTTGTCCTTTTACTTATTCTTAGTATCTGTATTTTTTTTTAAACAAAAAATTGGAATTCATTTTTTTTGGGCGTTCTGTTTAAAATTTAAATAGTGATGTGAAATTAGCGAAAAATAATATACATTAGGGTCCAAGATAAGGATGTGTATCTATGGGGATCTCCAAAACTATAAAAGATACGATGATGGCCAAATTAGAGAAAAGATGCGTAATGAAAGAGTTACTATCATGCTTAAAAGAAAGCTAGAAAATAATGATTACAGTAGAATCACGATAATCCGAGGTTCTGTGCAATCCGAGGTTCAAAAGAAAAAAATTGAAAACGCAAACCCTATTTTATTTTAATATAATCACCATGCACCTGCAATATTTTACGCTACTCCCTCCAAGCCAGCGGGTGACGTGTATTCTACTAAAAATAGTGTTGGTTTTTTAAATTTTTAGGTGTAATGAGAGTTTTTCGAAATCCGAGGTATCACCAGCCCCTTGGATTATCGAGACTGTACTGTACTTCCGAAGATATGCCACAAAAACCGGAACTGTTACTATTTTTTTTTATGTTATTTGAACAGATACAACAAAAAAAAGATTAGATAGTATAATATGTGCTAAAAATATTGTATGACAATTTTGTTGTTAGGGGTGTAATTTTGGAGACCAAAATTGAGGGAAATTCAATTTTGTTAGAATAAGTTGTGAGTGAAATCGTTTTTGATCTGATTCAAATGGGCAAAGAAGATGAGTTTCCCTAGGTATATAAAAAAGGGGATCAAAAGAAAATAATACTGTTAGCTTAGAACATCAAGTAGGAGACATTTCATATATAACTGCAATTTCAAATTTAAAAGTTTCAAAACTGAAACGCATACAAAAACTATTTCAAGTTGCAATTAAGTTTAAGTATGTTTTTTTCCTTTGCTTTTCTTTATGATTTTTTGAATACGCACTAAAATGCTTTAAATTCCTAGTAAGTGAATCATAGTGATTTCCTCTTCACTTAGGATCAGTGGGAATTCTTTTATCGCAAACTTTAGAAATGGTTCTCTGCTTGCCATGGAGGACGATCTTTTCACCACCCAGCAGGCTAGCAGGAAGGTTGTGCTTTACCACTGTATGCTCGACTTGCATAATATATCATTTAAAGGAAAAATCTTACAATAAATTACTTTGGATAGAAGAGCTGATGACCACGAGACCCTGAAGGAAAAACAGGCGAACATCACCTCTTGCCATGAAAAAAAAATAGGTTAGAGTTGCCAAGCAACAGTCAGTCATTATTCAAATCTCTTAAATTTGTTATAAACAATGCCTAAAAGAGAAATCGAACGCAAACGGCGAGAAGAACAGGAAGCAACGGCTTTGGCCTTTCAAGAATTCATAAAAACCTTTCAAGATCCCACCGGTCCACTGAACAAGACTTTTGTAAGGTCGGCAGTACTAAATGCAAACACGGAAGAGGAAGTGGAAGCTCGAGGGCAGATTTACAATCCTCAACCTTTAATAAAACCCGCTTCAAACACCACAATAAAGAATGCGATTGAATGTGCACGATTAATCAAAGAAACTAAGGCGGAACGATGTAAAGAGAAGCGAAAGACCAATTTGGAAATTTTAAAGGAGGAACTTAAGTTACGACACGAAGAACGCAACGAAAGGGAAAAGACCAAGGATGATCTCGGATATTGCAGCAACGATCTCAGTAGCACAAACTTGTTTATCGCTCATATTAGTCCGAAGATGACAGAGCAAAGTCTTATGTTACTCTTTGGCTCGTATGGTCCGTTAGCTAGCGTGAAAATAATGTGGCCAAGATTGGAAGATAGGAATCCGACAAGTAACTGTGGATTTGTCGCTTTTATGAGCCGAAAGGATGCGCAGAGGGCCATGACTGATTTAAACATACGCGAAAATATGAGAATTAACTGGGGAAAATCCGTGGAGCTACCTCTGAGTCCGATTTATATTCCACCGGAACTTGAGAAACTTTCCCAACCACCGCCATACACCGGTCTTCCGTTTAATGCTCAGCCTCTAAAACAGCAATTTGAGTATCCGACAACAGATGAAGAAATGCGAGAACTGTTGTACAATTCTGTAGTCAAGGTGGTTATTCCGTCAGATCGAACTGCGCTAATGACCATAAATCGAATGATCGAGTTTGTTGTACGCGAGGGCCCCCTTTTTGAAGCGATGATGATGCATAAAGAAATGAACAACCAATCTTTTCAATTTCTATTTAATAATCAGTCGGTCGAGCATGTGTACTATCGGTGGAGATTATACTCGATACTCCATGGAGAAACATTTAAGCAATGGTCCACAAAACACTTCCGTATGTTTAGAAATGGTTCCTTATGGTGTCCCCCGTTAATGCAAGATTACACTAAAGGTATGCCTGATTCTGTATTACATCGATTATCTAAAGTAGATAAAAGTGCACTGTCTGATGCTCAACGGTCTCGTTTTGTCGAGTTAATCCATTCGTTAAATATGACTAAAAAGAAAGTGGGGGAAACTATGATATTTTGTTTGAACCATGTGCATGCGGCGCGTGACGTTATTGAAATTATTTTCGATTCTTTCAAGAATCTGCACACGAAAGCCCCCAAGAAGGTGTCACGTTTGTACCTTTTATCTGACATTCTTTACAATTCTGGTATGAGAAAGTGTTATGCCCCAATTTATCGTTTAGAATTCGAAAAGTACCTTCCTGACATCTTCAAACAGCTGCAAATCACTTTGGGCAACCTCCACTCGCCTATCGACAAGGAAGCTTATAAATGTAGAGTGCTGAACGTACTGAGATCTTGGGATTTGTGGAAGATTTATCCTAGCGAATTTTTAAATAATTTAGAAAATTTGTTTTTGTGCCTTAATTCTGATAACGATTGTGACGATTCTGGAGACGAACCTTTAGACGGCGCGAGCTTGATTAAGAGATCCATCAAGAACGGTGCTCAATGCATTCGTGTGAATGCGACCACCAGCCAAGATCTTATGTCGGCTGGCTTTATACCTTCGAAGTGGGAAGCCGTAGATCCCGAACAGCTCGAGGCGCAAGCCATGTCAACCAAGAAGTTCTACGACATGGAACTTGAACGCAAAAAGAAATGTATGCAAGAGACCACAAATAAGGTACTTTCTAATGAAGAAAGAGACATTTTAAGGAAAGTTGAATTAATGGTGATGCATTATCAGGACGACATTGAGACTGGGAGAATAGTTCTAAGAGAAGGTAGCGGTTTGGAAGAGGAGTTGGACAAATTTCGAAACCATTTGTTAAACAAATTGAGAAAGGATAAAAAAGGGTGGAGTTCGAATAGTTCTGACGGTTCTTCCGATAACGATGAGAAAGAAAATCAGTTAAAGCGTAAGAGAAAAACGAAAAAGGTGAAGAAGAGATCAAAGAAGTAAATGTTTTCCGCTACTTAGGCATTATGTTTGTTGAGTTAGAGGAATAGGAAAAAGCGTCCAATGATAATTTTCTTTGTAGTCATTTAGATATTTGTAGTGGAGTACATGTTTAAATATTGATAGCTTTTGTTAATAGTATAATAATTCTTAATAACATGATCTAAGTACATAAAGGGACTACAAACCTTGATGGCTCAAGTACTTAAGTAGGTAATTACTCCATCACAAATGAGGAAATAATTTAGTTTAAGAAATTTCCTCTAACTTCAAATTAGTGTTTTTGAAAATTGTTCATTATTAAAAAATATAAGTGCTCAATATGTGGTTTATTACCTTGCTATTAGCGACATGGATATTGGAAATGTACCCATCGTCTTTCCTCCCATTAGATACTCGGATGTTGTATTTTGTTTTACTTTGGCGAAAAACGCAAAATAAACGCCTATTAAAGCTGAAATGATTAACATAAGCGCAAACACTAAATAGTCAAATATGTCAAAATATTTTAGAACTGGTTCCATTTTTCGTCTTAAGATGCTGTTTCACGACACTTAAAGGTAAAAACTAAATAAATTAGCCATTACTTGTGCTCTTACAAAAGCTCAATGAAAAGTGGCCCATTTACTTGCATAAACGTAACGTTAAATTAGTCACAATTGGAAAATTATACTAGTGGTTGGTGTTAGCAAATTATAAAAAGAATTAACGTACCTAAATATAAAGTCACAGTGAACAGTTAATTCGAAGCTTCTTGAGAAGTTAAACTTTATTTCACAATACATTTTCATTAAGCTGTTATTATTGGTTTGACTCGATGAAAGTTCATATTATTGTTTTTGCTTCTTTATAAGTTAATAATTTTTTTTACTGTACCTACTACTATTTGATATTGGAGGGATTTCGTTGTGTATGATATCTTTAAAATCAATCAAACTAACTGGAATGTAATGTAAAATTTTTCCAAAATTAACACGTACCTGCTGACGTACATAAACGAGAGGGATTAGAATCAAACACTTTTTTTATTTGGCCCACAGCCTGCCAATTAATTTGTGAAGCAATTTTTCTCAGAATAAAGTAGATCTGTACCTAAATAGAGGGGGTGGTCAGAAAGAAATGAACTAAGCAGTTTTTCTTTCAACACTCATTGGGAGAAAATACAATATTGGGCATTGTTCGATTATGGAAAGCTGTTGAGCTATAATCCAGAGGCTTTCGTTTCACAACGGCTCCCAAAATTCGAGACGAAATTAGTGAACAGAACACAAGGTACTCGAAGACCCTGAGTTAGTCTTATATGTATTCTTCAAAAATGATTATAAGATCCTTTTCAAAAATCTGTAAAACTTTTAAACAATCTCATATACTACAAGGTTTTCAAAACTCTGCACGAGCGTTTGTTGTTGCTCAAGATTCTTCAGCACCTTACAGCATTCCTATCAATCCGTTAGAATATCTTCTCTTCATTAGGTGCAACCAAAAACTGTTGAGAAGATTGAGGACACTTCAAGATTCTTCAAGCCCATACAAGATTGTTCAGGACCCTCCAGCACTCGACAAACCTTTCGAGTCCTACAATATAGTTTTCGATGCTTCATTTTATGACCGGTCAAGACCCTTAGGTATGTATTCTTCAGGACTTATCGGGGGCCTTCAGACCTCTCAAGAAATTCTTCAAGGCTTTTTAAGGTTATTAGACACGGTGTCCATTTTTCGAGTGCCACTATGGGGATCTCACTTATCTTAAGAGATAGAAAGTTGGTTAAATGGGGGCAAAGTTGCAAATTTCCGTGCTGAATAAGAATCTGAAAAGAAATTTGAAATATCTTCAATACTTTTGAAGATATCACAAAAAAACGAAAATTTCTGATTTTCGGTTTTAATTTTTTTATGATAAACTAGTCGTAGTAGACATTTCTAATTAGCACATTATTCGGACACTTTTTGACGGAGATTTCAAATATGGCATCCTGTTTTTAATTACGTTCAAGATGACAGAGAAACACGTGGCAACTGTAGTTTTTCTTATGGGCGCCATATTGAATTTTGACGTTTTGGGATTACGTCTTTTTTCTCTTTACAACGATATACCACACATAGTGGTTCAGTACCACATTTTTCCTAAAAATACAATTTTTCATTTTTTGAGAAGAGTGCTTTGGAAAAACAAAACGTTCTTTTGTTGTCAACAAAAGTTTGACAGTTTGATCCATCTGTCTGGTTGCAGCGTTGTCAGAGAAGTAGAAATTCGATTTTCATCTCAACCGCTTGCAAAATTCCTGATCATATTCATTGGGTCTATCACCATATTGCTGTCTACATCTTTTAAAAGAACCATATTCGCCCAAGTTTTTATGCAAAAATACCTCAAACTAGGTTGTTGCCCCTCTGGATAACGCTGCAAGTATGTTGCAGCAGTCACGTGGGCATTTCGATGAGAAGTTTAGTAAATTTGGATCATATCTCTTTGATCCGCACTTGAAAAAGGCATTTTCGCAATACAACTAGCATAAACCTAAATGACACTACTTGAAATAAGTCAACCTTTTGTTCACAACAAAAGAACGTTTTGTTTTTCCAAAGCACTCTTCTCAAATAAATTAAAATGCGTAACTATTTCATGCGCGTGACCGCCTCTTAAGTATATGACCGTTTGAGGACTTTTCAGAACGTTTCAGGGTACATCCGTACATCATGACGTTTCAAGACTTTAATACTCCTCAGACTTCTTCATGATTAGAGAAACAGTTTGACATCTTTTGGAGACTGCACCATTTTGTACTAATGGGGCCATTTTTGTTAAATGAGAAATCAGTCATAGGTACCTATTAATACATGTCGAATAGGCCAGGTATGAAATTTTGGATTGTTTAGGCCCTAAAATATTTGATTACCGTTTCTTTCCTTCTCAATTTCAAAAGGAGAACGTTTGAACGATTTTCATACACTGAAAAAGTGCAGAAGTGACCAGATTTCCATTGCTGTTAAAATACAATTGAAAATCAGGTTTGAAGGTCGCCTTGGGCCGGACCTCTGGGGACATACCTCTGCTTACGTTTTTTAAATAATCTTTTAGGATTCAATTTCAATGGAATCTAATGAACACCGATGCCTTAGTAATACGTAGTTGCTACAAACAACAAGAGATGGGGACGCTACACATTCAAACGAGATTTACAGGTAGTAGTAATGTGTGTTGCCTACCGGGCGGTAATTGCGAAAACAGGTGTAATGCGCACGCAGAAGACGAGTTCGGGCAACCCCCACATGTTCACTATAGCCGGTCGGTCTGGATTTCATTTTTGGTGCTTTTCAGTAGTATTTGCTCAGTGGCGTAAATGTGTGCATCGCGTTCGTTTTTCAAATTCAACCTCTCGTTTTAAAAAATCCAAAATGTTCCGATTTAACGTGAACGGTTTCGTTTTAATATCGTTTTGTTTTTGTGTCGCGATGTCTCGCGTCGCCGAAAATTCGCGTGTTAAAAGGACTTTACAGCAGGATTTGAGTACTTGTGCAAATGTGAAGCCGTTCTTTGAAATGCGAAATATTTCTGTGCAATCCTTCGATAGACCGAAGGGTAAGTCCTTTTATATTTTTAGCATTTTTTTCGCGTAGGTTTCATCTTGTGTAAGCCGTTTTATTTTTAGTGTATGTTTTATGTGTTTTTTTTCTATTTCGAGACGAATGTTTGCAAATTCGGGCGAAAATCGTAGGTTCCGTAAACAAAATACCTACCTTTCACCTTCCGGCTTATCTCCAAGTTTAACGATTGATAAGCCAAAGTTCAAAAATCTTCAAAATGTGGATAGTTACGACATACGTCTATTTATTGTGGGACATTTTCGTACTTATTAACGTACGTAATTCCTAAAAGATGTTCATACAATTTTCTGCGACGTCCAAGTCTAAGATTCAAAATTATTGAGTTTATGTTCAGGTAATTGTTCAAATTCGTGCCAGATTAAATTCTCAGCATACCGCAGATTTTTTAAATTCCGGGGAAAATTAATACCGAACACTCCCCTCCACATTGACAGTAAATAAGATGTAAAACATACAGCAGTAAATTTATTTTTGTCGGTCGTACACTTTTATATTCCGGCCGTTGAGAATTTTTCAAAAAATGTGAGCAATAAAAACGCGTTTTACGAGCGAGATTCGTTTGAAACATAATTTTATGTCGTTAACATAAAAATGTTCCAATCAATGTCTGTTTGTTTCGCGCAACATCAAAAAGATTTGCTTTGCACCGATCATTTGTTGCTGGTGTAAATGACCTAACAGACAGAAATTTTGAAATTACATTTCCATCCCAAGAAGTGGATTCGCTTAGATATTCAACGGTTTGATGATGATGATATTTCCTCAAATATTTCATTTAAAACGACTAAATTAACCTTTAATTAGATGATGACCTCTTTGTGTTCACATTATAATTCCGGGGTATTTATTTGCTGCTCCCTCAAAAATGTTGGGAAGACTTTCCCCTCTTTGATTCTAACACGACTCATTAAAATACTGCATGCATGAAACTTCTCTAAATTCCTTCAATTACTTCTTAATAAAGTGAATTAATTGTACCGAATAAATTACCTGTAATTGAAAAACCATAAAATGACCTTTCCCAAAAAGTACCTAATTCAACCACAAAAAAACTGGTAATTTTGCATTATTTTTGTAATGCCGTAATGTAATAGTGTTTTTTTAAAAATCGGTAGGTACAGGTACAAAAACATTTTCGGGGTACAAATCGGTGTAATTAATCTTAAATGTTCGAATCTCGTTGTGATGTTTTGGGATCTCGGCCTCCTTGGTCTGAAAAGGATTTCAAGCACATTTCTACTTTTTAAAATCCAAGATGACCGTGAAAATTTTATGTTGAGTACCATTTCGGTCATTAATACGACAAAAGGGTTGTTTAGAATATGCAACATTTCACAAATATCGAATCACATTGATTAAATCAATATTTGATTTGTAATCTTGTAAACAAGTATTCCGTGTAAATAAAACAAAGGAATTATTATTATCTGTCATAATAATAACAACCGCAATACAAAATTATTTCACAATTGTCACGGCCATCTTGTATTTTAATAAGTAAAAATGTGCTTGAAATTCTTTTCAGAACAAGCAAGTCGAGAAACATCAAAACCGAGATAAAAACCAGATTCAAACATTTTTTGTCAATTATACGTACAGTCAGTGGCGGATTTTCCATAAGGCACAGTAGGCCTAGGGCGGCCAGAGATTAGGGGCGGCCAATCGTCACTAATGATAACAAAAACTAACTCAAACTCAGAGTACGTACCTGAATATTCTAAAGTGAAAAGTCGTTGCTCACTGCAAGAGTCTATTATAGCAGTTAGCAGCTGTTATAATTAAGAGTTAACTAAATTAAAATTTCTGAATCGATTTTAAAAATTGGCAATAAAGTAAATTCATTATGTAGTCTATATGATTTGTACTAAGACAGAGGCGGCGACGTGGCCTGGGGCCTAGGGCGGCCTGGACTGCAAATCCGCCACTGCGTATACAGTGAAGTCAATCTGGGGACACACTGTGTACTCGACCGTGTATTATTTAGCATTTCTACATGTCGCCAGACTAGTGGTGATCGTTGATTTCTTATCGGTGCTTTACAATGAGCAAAAGCAGATTAAACAGTCTTGCAATGTTATCCATAGAAAAAGAAACCTGTCTAGGGATCAATTATGTGTCCTTAAAAAAACACCGATTTAGAAAACCCTGTACATATCTGTTTTCATTGTACCTTACCTACCAAGCTGTTAGTTTGGTGGTGAATGGTGGCTGATTATCTAAACCGTTTCCCCCCGATTGCAATGAAACTTTGGGGAATGGTTGGACATAGGTAGACATACGCTGAAATACTGTAAGATCCATCAAGTGTGCGCAGTGGCGTACGTAGAAATTTATTCGGGGGGGGGGGGGGGGGATAAAATATGTTCGTGGCACATTACAGTAACCCAGTGCGTACTAGAAAGGGGGGGGGGGGTAAGAAATAAAATTGGGTTGCAGGTTGCTGATGCTGGTAGTCATTTATCTATTTATTATTGTACAGGCGAAAAAGATTAGATTAGAACGGTATTTTATTTCTTACTGCTGACAGGCCCCTTTATTGCTTTTGCTTTAATTAGTCAACGAAAACTTTGAATAATAGGTATATTTATGGGCAAAAAACCAATTTCGACAAAAAATTCAAACGGCTGTAACTTTTGATCTAGTAGTCCGATCTTGGAACTGTTTGGAATTATGGATTCTACAGGCCACATTCTATAAGAAAATTCCGGTCGATCTGAGACAATTTTTTTTCGGGGCAAAAAAAAGGCAGTGTATAACCTTCCTTTTTTTCTAAAAATCGACTGCACCAAAATTTCTCGGGAAAAAACTTTTTCTGATTAATTTGGGTGCGTAAAATCCAAAACGATTCGTACTTTTTCGATTAGACGTCTCAATCAAAAGTTATGAGCAAAAAACCAATTTCGACAAAAAATTCAAAGGGCTGTAACTTTTGATCTAGTAGTCCGATCTTGGAACTGTTTGGAATTATGGATTCTACAGGCCACATTCTATAAGAAAATATTTTTTTCCGGTCGATCTGAGACAATTTTTTTTTTCTGGGCAAAAAAAAGGCAGTTATTACCTTCCTTTTTTCCCAAAAATCGACTGCACCAAAATTTCTCGGGAAAAAACTTTTTCTTATTAATTTGGGTGCGTAGAATCCAAAACGATTCGTACTTTTTCGATTAGACGTCTCAATCAAAAGTTATGGGCAAAAAAAATTCTTGTTTTTAAAATTTAAAATTCTTATTTTCGTCATTTCGTGAAAGGCAGGACGCAGGTACCTCACCTCAGTAGCAGTACTAAGTACCTGATACCTATTTGTTATTTTGGGCACCAATGTAGCGAATTGCCGATCGATACCGAATAGTCAAATCGTTGACTGCCAACACTGATCACACACTGAATAGTGAATACTGAATACTACAGAATGTTTAGATTTTAGTGACTTTAGACTTTAACCAAAACCAAAATTGCTCTCTATACAGGGTGTTTTTTTGGGAGCTTTAGTTAAAAGTTTCTGGGAAAGTAAAATAGGTAGGTTTTTGAAAATTTGTACTTAGGAGTTACTCTGAAGGCTGAATCGATGTAAAATATTTTCAAAATGGCCGCACTTCCGGAAACACCGGAAGTAGATAGTAACTTCGTTATTTTAAATGGCAAACTATTAAAGATAGGTATAGGAACATGTAATATCAAAATATGCCAATTTCGATTCTCTATCTCATGCAATATTAAGAACATGGTCATTCCATTTAAAAAAACGGAGTTTATAGACTTTGAAGTTTCTTAAATTTGGATCTCCATAGGTGCGGTTGTATGCAACTTAACTTTGTTTTAAGTGCACTAAAAGAAAGCCCTATTCATTCTCTATGCACTGATAAAAATAGGTTGCCATGACTACAACCGTTTTCAAGTAATCAATTATCAAGGTACCATCTGCATCCGCCATTTTTTTTCTTAAAGTCAAAATAACTTAAAAACCATAAATGGCAGATATGACATATGGGTATCAAAAGAACTGAAATTTCACGTAGAATCCAAAAATGCAATAAAAAATAGGGGTTGCCATTTAAAATAACGAAGTTACTATCTACTTCCGGTGTTTCCGGAAGTGCGGCCATTTTGAAAATATTTTACATCGATTCGGCCTTCAGAGTAACTCCTAAGTAGAAATTTTCAAAAACCTACCTATTTTACTTTCTCAGAAACTTTTAACTAAAGCTCCCAAAAAAACACCCTGTATATACCTACATGAAAGTGGGCGGAGCGGATAGCGGAGTATTACCTAAATACCTAATAGCTATGATGATAACTCCATTCTTCGGGGGGGGGGGGGGGGGGGGGGGAACCCCCCCCCCCCCTCCCGGTAAATACGCCACTGAGTGTGCGAATTCGATAAAAACTTGTTTGAAATTGATTCATAAGTCAATGACGCAGGGCCACACACTCCTGATTTCAAGTGTATTAACTTCCAAACGCGACACGACCGCCACTCATTTTTGACCGCTCATTATTTCCAGTGCGTTGGAGATCTCAGATTCATTTTGCAGAATCGTAGATGCATCACTCCCTAAGCCATTTTGAAATCCTTAAAATCTCAGGAAAGCTTTTCAAAAAGCCCACAATCAATTATTGTAGATAACATTGACAATTGCAGATCCACCCACGGCGAACCTTGAATTTGTATGATGCCATAATAATTCTTCCCTGGCTAATTGATGAGAGGCATCCAGAAAATATGGAAAGTTATAAGGATCTAATCATCAACTTAGTGTAGATGACGAAAAACAAAACAGCATTAATTAAAAGCGATCGATTCACACATATATCTTGAAAGCCGACAAACGAAGACCACATCTTCCTTTCTCTTCTCGCCCACACGCTTCAATTTAACAATAATAAATTGTCCAACAATGATTGCATTTACTTTTCCCAGATGTTCAATTAATTTCGCCTTTCGTTCTTGGAATTGTACTTTGATCGAGTCAACGT